ATCACAGCAGGGGACACCAGAAATGGACTTCACATACTGTACCCATGTGGGGAATCTAACCTGGGTCTACCAAACTGCCCTATCCTGGCAGCACTAAGGGATGTAACTCTGAACTGAATAATGTGGCCTTAGCATGCACACAACCATACCTTTCATTTGTTCTTGATATTTGTACACTCAATATTTTATAGATTTTTCTAATTTGTGAAATATGTTTGATTTGCTAACCATCCACCCAATGTCATTAAAGATGCCTGCTTCCATTCATTAATAGGGGAGAATTGATCTTCAGTAACCCATGCTTCTCATAAGAGGCAACTAACAGGATCAGGTGGTCAGGCTCACTGACTTGGTTGACACATGTCTTCATATCCCAATTGCGTAGATCGATGCTCATGCTGTTGATCACTGGATTGTCTGGTCCAGACTTGATTATTTACAGACCGCCGAGTGCGTCGTAAAAGTATTGCTGAGTGCGTCGTAAAACTAAACTCACTCATTAATGGTATGTCACTGTGTGGACACAGATTTCACCCAAGCTCCACACAGGGATAACTCCTTCCACAAAACCATAATGAATGTGTCAAATGATGCAATGGAGCCCTTCTTACTGACTTGTACTGGACAATATATCATCCTGTACTTCACATTTATCAAGTGTAAGGATGGATTCTTGTCGCCATCTGTTCTGATAAATCTATTTTAAACAGATGACCAATTTTGAATTTTTCTTTTTGTTCCACCCACAGTATCTCGAGAAAGGTCAAAGTAATAAATGACAATTCTAAAAAAAATATTTTCTCATATATCAAATATAACTCAGATACACAATGGAGATCTTGTAATGCACATCAAGATGAACATGAGAGTAAATTAGGACATATCATCGCCATCCTTCTCCTCCTCCTCTTCTTCATCATCATCATCATCATCATCATCATCACTGTTGGCTTCAAGGTTATTAATGCTCATTATGCAGCTAAAGCCTCAAATCTATCACAACTCAAGCTGTTTTTAATAATCCTGGAACTTAATCTAATTCAAAATACTGGACATCTTGAGAGATAATTTCACATCATAGAAGTGGATTCTGTTGTGTCAAATATGATTGTGCGTAAAAATGGTGTAAATACTGCCGTCTCACTATGTCAAGAGGGAAATTACAATTGGCGTGTATGCTGATTGCTCTGTCTCACCTTTTTGAACAGATTTCACAGCACAAAAATACATTTCCCTCAAACATCAATATTACATTGCAAAGATCACATCAGAGGAAAAGATTTGCTGGAATAACATAATGGTAAATATTTAGCTGGGGCAGTTGTTTAGGTTTTCCTGATGATTGTGAACAGAGGAAGAGTGAATTACTGGAAAGTATTTCCTTCTATTCTCAACATTATGGCATGCACAGGAATGTAAAGTTCATTTGGGAATTTGACAAAATAAAATTAAATGAAAACGACAAAACGATTGCTATACCATGAGGCAAAGCATCAGACAAGCTACAGTTTAGCTTTAGGTGAGTTTAAGATGAGCATCGAACAGCTTCAGATGAGTTTCAGACTAGCATCAGAATAGCTTCAAATTAGCTACAGATGAGTTTCATGCTAGCATCGGAATAGTGTACAATGAGTTTCATACTAGCATCAGATTAGCTTCAGATGAGTTTCAAACTTTGTATCAGAATAGCTTCAGGTTAGCTTGAGATGAGTTTCAGACTTTGTATCAGAATAGCTTCAGGTTAGTTTCAGATGAGGTTCAGACTTCGTATCAGAACACCTTCAGGTAAGCTTCAGATGAGTTTCAGATTTTGTATCAGAACACGATCAGGTTAGCTTCAGATGAGTTTCAGACTTTGTATCAGAATAGCTTCAGATGAGTTTCAGACTTTGTATCAGAATAGCTTCAGATGAGTTTCAGACTTTGTATCAGAATAGCTTCAGATGAGTTTCAGATTTTGTATCAGAATAGCTTCAGGTTAGCTTCAGATGAGTTTCAGACTTTGTATCAGAATATCTTCAGATGAGTTTCAGATTTTGTATCAGAATATCTTCAGGTTAGCTTCAGATGAGTTTCAGACTTTGTATCAGAATAGCCTCAGCTTAGCTTCAGATGAGTTTCAGACTTTGTATCAGAATATCTTCAGGTTAGCTTCAGATGAGTTTCAGACTTTGTATCAGAATACTTTTAGGTTAGCTTCAGATGAGTTTCAGACTTCGTATCAGAATATCTTCAGCTTAGCTTCAAATGAGTTTCAGACTTTGTATCAGAACACCTTCAGGTTAGCTTCAGATGAGTTTCAGACTTTGTATCAGAATATCTTCAGCTTAGCTTCAGATGAGTTTCAGACCTCGTATCAGAACACCATCAGGTTAGCTTCAGATGAGTTTCAGACTTTGTATCAGAATATCTTCAGCTTAGCTTCAGATGAGTTTCAGACTTTGTATCAGAATAGCTTCAGCTTAGCTTCAAATGAGTTTCAGACTTTGTATCAGAATAGCTTCAGCTTAGCTTCAGATGAGTTTCAGACCTCGTATCAGAACACCATCATGTTAGCTTCAGATGAGTTTCAGACTTCATATCAGAATAGCTTCAGCTTAGCTTCAGATGAGTTTCAGACTTTGTATCAGAATAGCTTCAGCTTAGCTTCAGATGAGTTTCAGACTTTGTATCAGAATATCTTCAGGTTAGCTTCAGATGAGTTGCAGACTATGTATCAGAATAGCCTCAGCTTAGCTTCAGATGAGTTTCAGACTTTGTATCAGAATATCTTCAGGTTAGCTTCAGATGAGTTGCAGACTATGTATCAGAATAGCCTCAGCTTAGCTTCAGATGAGTTTCAGACTATGTATCAGAATATCTTCAGGTTAGCTTCAGATGAGTTTCAGACTTTGTATCAGAATATCTTCAGGTTAGCTTCAGATGAGTTGCAGACTTTGTATCAGAATATCTTCAGGTTAGCTTCAGATGAGTTGCAGACTATGTATCAGAATATCTTCAGGTTAGCTTCAGATGAGTTGCAGACTATGTATCAGAATAGCTTCAAGTTAGCTTCAGATGAGTTGCAGACTTAACATCAGAATAGTTTCAGGTTAGCTTCAGATGAGTTGCAGAATAATGTCAGAATAGCTTTCAACTAGCATCAGACTATCCATAGGTTAGATTCAGACTGCAGTTGTCTCGTGTCAGATGTTGTGCTGTTTTTGAACCAGGTGAGCTTCAGGCTACTGTTACTCAGTGGTTGCTTAGTATACAGTGGTGTCTCCTGTTCTGCTGCAATAACTGCTGCACCAGCTATTTAACTCACCCTAGTTGCTATGCAAGACTCAGGTTTCTCTCGTTATGTAGTACTGGAATCATGTTATCTGAAATCACTTGCTGTTAGCTTCCACTGCACGTCTCATCCAAAGAATTCTGGAAATATGATTAACAGAATAAAATGTACAAAAAAACTTATATATATGCCACTTGGGGGCTTTTTTAATTAATAAAAACAGAGAATTGATTTGGGTATAAAATATCAAAGTTTCAGGATCTCCTTACATTGTACTTGAATGTGAAGGTAATCCTTTAGATCATCATTATTTTATTGTTGGAAATTTCAAGTAGAACTATCAAGTAGTTATATGTTGGCTAAGCGCTCATGAATTGTATAACGCAAATTTCATTTTGTGTTAATTGCCAATTGTACACATACATTGTAATACAGGTACTATGGGCCTGTGTTGCCTTTCGTAAGGCCAGACCAATTTTATTTCTTCTTTCACGAATTTATGTCCTCAGAAAACCTTCAGGCAGGAGGGAAAGAAATGAAAAGAAAATGACCAGTCAAAGTAATATTCCTTCTAAATACTAAAAGTATTTTACTTTTGGCAATGTATAAAGTGTATATGTGGCAAACAGCAATCTAAAAGTTTTCTTGTAAGTTTACATTTTTGGAAAATAAAAACATTCAGATTTTATTTATTGAGCAGGGAAAATTAATATTTTTTTTTTTCTTATTCTTGATAAAATACGACCGGCGGATCTGTAAAACAAGAAATAAAATTGGTCTGGCCTCATTTAGAATAAAAGACTACATCATTATAGACAAGGTTCTCAATTAAAAAAAGAAATCTTTAAAAAATTAATCCATTATTTTGTATGATTCTTCCTATTTTGGTGTGTTTACATATGTCGATAATAAATGTCATGTTACACGGCACATTTTCCAGTGCAGTGAACTGCCTGTTCTATATTGATCATTAATCAGTGAGATAATGCTAATATTATTCAAAGTGGCATTAATTCTAACTCACTCACTCTGTGTCAAACAGAATTTCTATATGTGGTATAGTTTATAAAGAATCTTCTTCAATAGTGTAATGCAGAACATCAATAAGATCAACTTTACTTCATGATATTTTTTTAATATGATTGATGTTATTTAAACCAGCCTCATTTCCTTCAATGGTTGTCACCAAAAGTTTGGAACAAAGTCTGCAGAAACATCTTCACTTAGTCCACTCCACTGCTCCACTAATGCCTTATTAAAGATAATTTCTTGACTGAAATCTTTCTAAATGTTCTCACATCAAATAAAAGGGCATCAGCCCAGCTTTTAAGGGACCCCTCATAATTTTAAACCATATGTAGAAATTAGTTCGCACACCATTCATTCTGCTCGGAGTTCTAAGGAGTTATTGCCGATGGTTTTATGGCTGTTGAATGAAGCAATTGGAGTGTATACCCATTAAGTGTAATTTCATGTATATGAAACAAGCCGATCCGAGATGGGTTTGCAATCGTACTATCCCTACATCCCCAGGCTGTATTGACCCTGCTTCTAACTGACTGATCAGCGACTGCTAGCAAACTCCACACGAAAGAGAATCTGTTCAAACTACAAACTAGATAAGCTGGGGGGTTTCATATTGTGTCACAGGGTAGGGTACATGAAAAAGTTGTTGGTAGCAACTGCTTTTCCTCCATTCATCACCGGTGAATGGGAAGAGAGCTACTGAAAAGATTCGATCCATGAGACTCAGGTTAATTTATTCTTCTCTCGCTAGCAGCGTGTGTTTGTGTGTGTGTAGATTCTCAAACTGCCGAACATCTTTTGTCATTTGTGAGGCGATAGTGCAGTACAAACCAGCCTTCATTGTAGCTCTGCTCAACATGTAAGGATAAGTAATTTGGAGTGTACCACTACAAAGAGCTGGATTCATGGGAGAACGATTTTATTGGAGAGTGCTTGCATTGAAGCAAGTAGGGGAAAAGCGCAGGAGCTGATCATGAATATTTTCTCATCGGTAGAATAATTTTAATCTTGTGAAAGTTTATACCTTTGAGGTCTCGTATTGCAGAGTGTGTGCAAGTCACATGAAGAGATACAAGTTTTCACATTACTTGGACTAAAAAAAATGATTCCCTTTTTATGATGATTTTATTTACCGTGAAGGACCGGTCTAGATATGACTTTGTTGTGAAATAATCTAATGATGGGAGGAAGTTCTCAAGGGAAGACGGACAATTAGCGCTGTTACATGATCATGAAAGAGATGAAGTCATCTCATGTCGCTCTTGGTTGTCTAAGCTTGGATAACCGTGTGTTGAGTTCTAATGCTGAAACAGACAGAAACTGCCGATGTAGCACTGTGATACTCTTTAATTGGCAGTACAACTAGATGTGGTGCACTGGGCTTTAACGCTGCGATACGCTTTGATTAGCGATACCACAGGCTGTAACACTGGGATATAACACTATGTGTATAGTTTGATCCTCCGTCATAGGAAGTGTCACGTTTGGATGTTACACTGTGTTACAGTTGTCTGTTTCACTATCTGGATGTACTGTTACACCTTTATTTTCTGTGTTACAGAGTGTAATTGGGATGTGAAATTGTTTTACACTTTGACTGTGTCTACTACCAAAGTGCCATATTGGGATGTTACACTGTGTTGCTGTTGATTTGGCTGCTTCACAGAAGTGTAACATACAGATGTAACACTGTTTTACACTTTTATCAGCTGTATGCAGACTGTAACATTACAATGTAACACTATGTTACAGTTTAGAATACTGTTTACAGAAGTGTGACATGGAATGTAACATTGTGTAACAATTAACATTGGATGTAACAAAGGGATACACTCAAGGTGTTTAGAGAACTACAATAGTGTAACACATAAAGTATCTATACACAGTGTTACTTTGGAATGTGAATTATACACTTAGAGTGTCTGTATCTCACAGGTTTAACATTGAGACGTAGCACCGTGCAGCACATTAATTACCTTTCTACCTGGAATGAATATTTTTTGTAAAACGTGTGAAGTGGATGCCAAATGTTGAGATGGAGTGAGTTCACATGCTGCAGAAGTTGAACTACAATGATAGACAGGAAGTAGCAGCGAACGATGTATTTAAGCTAATGAGTTGTACATGATTCATGGGCTGTGTGCACTGGATAGATAGATTCCATTACGATGGTTGTGGATCGAGACACATGGTAAGTAGTGATTGACTGTTTAGAGGTCACTTTGCAGATCTTCTCAAAGCCATGTATGACATTGTCAATTAGCCAAGTCGACACAGTGTATAAGCAATGTTTCATTGAAGGCATGTGAAACTGACAATATCTGTCATCCTTACTATGTAGATCATATTTCTTCCTTGCAAGATGTTTTCTTTGACGTTATTTCATGATTGTTTGACATGTCATGCCACATCGTCCGTCATGCAACATCATTTGTCATGCTTGTGTAACGTCAACTACTTAGCTAAATGGGCTGAACATGTTGCAGTGTTATTCATGGCCAGTAGGCTTCAATCCTTTTTCAGGAAGCAATTTTTGGGGTAAAATTTAAATGTTAGAAAATGTTTCTTAACTTTCTACTCTAAAACCATAAAAGCCTTGGAGAGTTGATACTTCCTGCATTTGATTGATTGCTGCCATAAATATTCCATTTATGTAAGATGTCATGATCAGCGTTCAACTGCACAGTTGTAGATGTTGCAAAACTACTTTTTTTGGCCCTACACGGCTTTACCAAATGAATCAAAATTGTGAACTTGGTGTTAGGGAAATGGATTCTGAATGATATATGTTAGGTGAGCTACAGGGCCTGATTCTAGGTCAAGTTGTGTCATGCCTGCCTTTGACCAGTTTCAAAATAGGTTTTGATGTAAGTGTTCGTGCCACGGCAAACAGTTTTACAGCACAATTCCTTCAAGAGTATGGCTCCTGCAATCTTGGAGATGTCTGGAATCTACAGATCCTCGAAATTGTTCCTGACAATTTCAGAATTTTTTATCATTCATGAGAGGCACCGTTGTCATCAGGGAAGCATCATAGCTAGTATATGATTTAAGCCACAGTATATGGCCCCTATGATTAAATGCTCTGCATCTGAAGCAGCTGAGTACTATTAATGCTGCGTGTATATGAAATGGAGCCATCTCTTCTAATATGGATGGGGTATTTTCCTGACATGCAAAACCGAAAAAGAAATCTAGGTGTTGGGAATGATTTTTTGGTAAGTGATTGAATATCTTGGGAATAACTATTGAGACAAATTTAGGTGGCATGCATCAAAAAGATTGAAGGCAAAAAACAGTTGTACTTTAAATGCTGGAACAATAGAAGAGAGTTTTTCAGAGAATATCTATGAAATTTTATTGTTAGTTTCAAGAACGGATTTCCTATCACCTGGTGAGCTGCATCAGTCATAATCCTAAGATCGCTTTGTGAGAAAGGGTTCTGATGAGTGACCAATCATCACTGCCCTTTCAAAGTATTAGATTCCATAATCGTGTTAACACCTTGTGCCTTTGTTGAGCCATGTGTTTCAATAACCAAAATGATGGAGATCTTAGGATCTTAGAATAATTAAGCTTTTTTCGTTAAACATAAAATATAAAACTACAACGCCAGAAAATAACCACACTTGATTATCTTCCGAAATGGATTCCATTGAGCGTAAAATTGGTATTTGAAGAGTATCGCAGTCAATGGGCTGGAACCCTGTGTGATGATAATTAGTGTATTAAGAAATCATCATTTGCACTCAACATGGGCTAAGAATATTAACATGCTTTACTAAATACAGTTTGTGCACACCTGCAAAGCCCTTCTGAATCACATTACACACCTAATTAACAACACATTTCCTTTCTTGATGGCTAGCTATTCCTCTGTATAACTTTAATGTTCTGAATATACCAAGTGAACAAAATGGCCTTGGCTCTGTTTTGATAATTTGTGAAAGTGTTTGCTTAAAAAAAAGTAACTTTTTGTTAAACAGTACTACAGTTATGTATGTGCAAACCACTTTTTTTTTATCTTTATGAATTTGAAAATGACGTTCTTCTGTCTTATTATATTATTCAAATTTCATTATGTTCAACAGTTATGTCTCACACAATGATTTATAGCATATAATTTCTTTTTGGGGGGGGATTGCACAAATCTTTTTTGATAACTACACCAAACTTCAAGGGATAATTAGGAAGACGAAAGACAGAAGCTAGTTGTCAAAGCTTTGTGTCTTTTGCAGGACTTTTAAATGATTTACTATCAATTTGAGATTTAGTTTTGAGTGTTTTGAACTGGCATCTAGAAAAACTTTATAAGACGTCAAGATTGATTAAGCTCACATAGTTATAACATCTGAGAAATTGTTGAATAATACATTCTCCATCTATGATTTTTATCTATATATTTTTATTGTACCTGATCAAATGATGGAACGATGCAGGTATAATAACATTTACAGATAAGAACTTTGAAAGAGAAAAATAGGTAAATGAGAAAGGATTATTAAATTTGACAGAGTGGACAGAGCAGCCATTAGTTGGTTGCATTGGAGACATGGCAGCCATATTGATGGAGAATCCTACCGTTTGAATATGATCTTTGAAACTTAGGAAAAACAGGCATGTATCCTGACTGCATTTAGAAAATTAATGGTTAAATTAGGTGTTCTTGTGGACTTTATCAATTCTTCATAGACATTCAGTTTCTTTATGAATGATCAATGGAATGAATTTACATTTATATCTAATTGAAAATGACATCATGTTGTGATCAATCATACACGGGATATCAGATTTCTTGATACAAACTTAGTTTATCAGTCTCATTAATCTGCAGACGACTTCCTGTCCTGGAATCACAAGATCTAGAAAGATTTTTTAAGTTTAGATTAAATGTTTGACTGAGGAACTGGGCCTGGTGTAAATCACTCTGACAACGACGATGATGATGATGATAATGATGGTGGTAGTGGTGGTGGTGATGATGGTGGTGGTGATGATGATGATGATGATGATGATGATGATGATGATGATGATGATGATGATGATGATGATGATGATGATGATGATGATGATGATGATGATGACTGGGATTCAAACCCACAGTCATAGGTTTCTGACATGCCCTAGATGTAGGAGAGATAAAACAACAACAGCTTGTGTGGGAAAAAGTGAAATGTTTTACATTCAATTCATATATGATATATACCATTATTTAATTTCCATGATTTAACAGGCTTGTTTCTTGAAGTAAAGTAGATCAGTCTTAAATATATTACCATAGTTATCATTCAGTGTTTTGGAGTGTACAGAATCCATCACGATTGATCTAATTATCCCATTAAGATCAGATCCTTTCCTCCAATACCATACCACTCTGTATCAACATCTGATCCATACGTCTCATGAAATAAGCCCAAAGCAAATTTAGACTGTCCAATCTAAATGAAGGTTGCAGTAGTTCTTGGGCAAATCAGATTTCAACTTTCTGAAATTGTTTAGCTTCATTCCTTTACCACCTTGATTTGGTCACTCCCATTTCTTTCAATAAAAACTAACAAAAAAGAGCAGTAATATTCTTTTGATCCTTTGGGGTTCAGATGTCATGTCACTAAAACTGAGTGTAGAGCCAACCATGACATAATAATGGCCCAGATTGATATCATGGCAGTCAGAAGTAAACAGAAATCATATATGGAGGCTCAACACTGATTGGCTGATCAGAAAGTAAACCTTATAGAATCTGCAATGGAATAACTGGTGTCTTCAGATCATCATGCAGAAAGGTGTATCACAGTAAAAGTTGGGATTTTAATGAAAATCCGGCTGAAGTCAGCATTATTAAAACTGAATGAATGTTGTCAGTCAGGAATGTATATCACTTCAACCCATAGTGAGTGAGTTCAGTTTTACTCATTTTAGAACACTTTGATATTTTTTTTTTCATGAAATGTCAAGAACGCCTGATGTGATACAGATATCGGATGTTTATCACTTTTTGAGAAATCCATGAACCAGAGTAAGGTGCTGAAAAACCTAACAATATATTCAGCATAGGCTGAGATTGGAACCGGAGATGATAGATTTCTGGTATAGGTAACGCACTGAAAATCAATGGCAAATTGCAATGCGTAAGACGACTGGGCCATCCGTTCTACGGAAACCTATGATAGTAGGGACAAGGCAAATTAGTGCTGGTAATACTGGCAGTATTAACCTGGCCTGGCATTGTACCACAGGTTTAGCCTATCTCAGTATTAGCCTGGTCTAGCCTGGTCTACCTCAGCATTAGCTTGGTCTAGCCAGGTCTACCACAGTATTAGCCTGGTCTAGTCTGGTCTACCTCAGTATTAGCCTGGTCTAGCCTGATCTACCTCAGTATTAGCCTGGTCTAGCCTGGTCTACCACAGTATTAGCCTGGTCTAGTCTGGTCTACCTCAGTATTAGCCTGGTCTAGCCTGGTCTACCTCAGCATTAGCTTGGTCTAGCCAGGTCTACCACAGTATTAGCCTGGTCTAGTCTGGTCTACCTCAGTATTAGCCTGGTGTAGCCTGATCTACCTCAGTATTAGCCTGGTCTAGCCTGGTCTACCTCAGTATTAGCCTGGTCTAGTCTGGTCTACCTCAGTATTAGCCTGGTCTAACCTGGTCTACCACAGTATTAGCCTGGACTACCTCAGTATTAGCCTGGTCTGGTCTAGCCTGGTCTACCTCAGCATTAGCCTGGTCTAGCCAGGTCTACCTCAGTATTAGCCTGGTCTAGTCTGGTCTACCTCAGTATTAGCCTAGCCTGGTCTAGCCTGGTCTACCTCAGCATTAGCCTGGTCTAGCCAGGTCTACCTCAGTATTAGCCTGGTCTAGTCTGGTCCACCTCAGTATTAGCCTGGTCTAGCAATGTACCAAATGTACTTGATTGCAAATCTGGTTGTTTTTTTGCTACACACAGCATTTTTCAGGCTATATGATCTGTAAGTCTGTAGGTAATCGGGTCTGGACCCGACAATCCAATGATTGATTTCATAAAAAATCAATCCACACAGAGGGTATGCAATGACATAGATCGACCAAGTCAGCAGACCGGACAACCCAATCCCGATAGATGCCTCTTCCCACAAGCTTGGGTTGCTGTAGACAATCAGTATCTTCATAGACTTCACATGGAGTGAACTGAGAGCATAAAAACACAATTTTAGAA